ATGTTATGGACAGTTTCTCTACCACTTAAGCACTCAAAAGACAACCCCCAAGAGTAAGGTGGACGAGTAAAGGCATGTCCAGAGACCACTTTGTCAATTAACCCCTTAGACAGTCCCCTGAATAGAATTGGACCCATCTACCCTAAGTTATATCTCATCATGAGCTATTTCAGTGTCATATGGATCATATCAGGTATCTACAAAAGAAACTAAGGAATAAAAAAACTTTTTTTTTTTAAATTTTGGAGACAGGGTCTCTCGATGTAGGCCAGGCTGCCCTCAAACTCACAGTGATCCTCTCCTGCCTACTCCCAAAGTGCTGGGATTACAGGCATGAGCCACCACAAGAAGAAAAATTAGTAGCACAAGTTCATTTTTCTTGGAACAAAGGAGAATAAATGAACATAATCTGAATTATCTGAACTTTATACCATTAACCATCCATTAATTGTGTCTCCCATTTTTGAGGAACTGCAGAACCGTAGTCCTTTTCCATGCCTGTTTTCAAAGGGTACCAATTTTAATTAAAGCTTTATTGAAGACACTGCATTTTCCATTTCCATATTTTTAAAGGAGTTAATACAATTTTATGTTTATCAAGTAAAGCCAACATTTGTGAACATGAGTTACTACATATCTGTACCTACAAAATTTTAAGATTTACTGACCCTAAGGTCTGACATGTTAAAGTTGATGGTATCTACTATGTATACTTAGTGCCAACTGCTCTCTTGGTGGTGCATAAGATAATGGTATCTTAACAATCCCTGACACCTTGGGTTGGACTAAAAATAGTAGTAAAAAAGATTTAATCAGAAGGTGCTTTGCCCATGTATCAAATGACCACAATATTTTCATAATTCTCCTGTCCTCTGATTTAGTTTTCAGAGAGAAGACTGTGTGACAATGAAACAAATACAGGCTCTAAAGTAAGGCAGGCTACTGAACAAATACAGGTTCAGATACGAGCTCAAGTTCGGTGAACCTGGAGATGTTACTTCTCATACACACCATTTATAATGGAAGGGTCCCACTATCCTCCTTGGGGGACTGCTATGATTATTACAGATGACAGAAGCAAAGCACAAGGAGGATGACAGGAAGTGAATAAATAGTAGCTATTCTCACTTCTGCTTTAGGAAGTCCAACTACTTCTAATGCTGCCAGACTGAGCACCTGCCCAGGGAGGAGCTGCGATGCTGGCTCCGGCACTCCGACAGTGGCCTACGACTCTTACATCTACTTTCTGAGCTACACTTGAAATGGTTAAAGTCAGCACAAGGATGACTCTGGGGGATCAATAAGCAACATTACAACAAACAAATGGCACAACTGTATTGCATTTTTAAAAAAAGACACCGTTCTTGTTTCTACACTGTATACTATCGGAATGCACTGTTAGCAAAGATTTAAGATGAGGTAACATATAAACCTATGCTTGCCAAGAGAAATAAAAGTTTAATCAATCACTTTAATATAAAATCCACATATCTTGATACAAATATAACCACTGATTCTAATTTCCAAATTCCTGGTGTAGAAGAGACACACCACATTGTCTGTTTACCTATGTAATATTTCATTTCAGTGTCATGTTTGTTCATGAGCTCAAGAAGTCGCACTTCTATCTGGGCTTGATTCAAAAACGCTTTCTTGTTCTTTATTATTTTAATGGCAACCCATTCTTGTTCCACCCGATCATATGCTTTTACAACCTGAAAGAGAAGAGAGATAAGTAATTCTCTATTTCTTAATGACAATTTCATAACAGTTTACATTTCTCTCGCATTGTACATCTACCTAATGCTGAACAACATTTTTCTGACCTTCCTGAGTAGAAAAGACCTTGTTCCTCTCAATATAGCATCTATTTTATTACAGAATAACTCTGAGTCCATCTTTTTAAGTGAATTTCTTTTTGTACTCTTATTACAGTATTTCTAAATATTTACAAAATTAGATTAAAATGTTTCCCTCCTTCAGAAATAAAATTATTGAGCCAAGGATATAGCCCAGCAGCATAAGGGCCTGCCTGGCAAGCACAAGGTCCTGAATTCGATTCCAGGTGCCCACCCCCCAAAAAAAAACAGAAATAAAATTCTGACTGCTTGCAAGTGCTTCAATTTTTTTTTTTAAACCTTTCTTACCAAAAACTACTTTTTTTTCCTACTATAAAAACAATTTATCCAGCTGGGCATGGTAGCACACGCCTGTAATCCCAGCATTTGGGAGGCTGAGGCAGGAGGATCCCGGTGAGTTTGAGACCAGCCTGGACGACAAAGTGAGTTCAAGGCCAGCTTGAACTGCATAACAAAACCACTCTCAAAAAGAAAAAGAAAAACCAAAGAACAACCAACATACAGAAAAATAATTCATCCAACTATTCTTTTAATGAAAAAAACCTGGTTTAAATCCCCCCAAAATAATGAACTATTTAAAAGGTTCTAGTGCATCTCATAAAGCAGATAAACTTCCATCTTTATGTTAGATTTATAGACATATAAAACAAAAGTACAGGATCTGGGCATGGTGTTACACACCTGCAATCACAATTCCAGCACTTGGGAGGCTGAGGCAGGAGGACTACTGTGAGTTCGAGAACAGCCTGAACTACACAATGAGTTCAAGACCAGCCTGAACTACACATTGAGTTCAAGGCCAGCCTGAACTGTATAGCAAGATCCTGTCTCAAAAGACCAAAAAGTACATAAAATAATTATACTAAAAGTACATAAACTGCTGTATGTACACCATTTTCGAGGTAGGTATCCTAAAGTTAGAAAAAAGTCCTACTGAGAGGTAATGTCCAAGTATTACTGTACTTTTTCAAGGTGGAGGCAGCAAGATCTGTATTAACTTACAGTGTGTTTGTTCATAGCCCTGCTAAGAACTTGGCCTGAGAAATGTTCTGACAGACAAGCAGAAGCTACTTCTGACTCCTCAAATACTGAGAAAGCCCTTATTAACACACACACACACACACACACACACACACACACACACAATTATAAATCAAGGAAAACTTCATTCAAAACACGGGGTGAGGCAAACATATCACACATGTATCACAGGAACCTGGTACAGCCAAAGAGTTACAGAGCTCTTCCAACACACTTCCTATCTATTTACATGGTTCAACAACTCAGGTCTTTCTATGTTTAGAAGTTTGCTGAGCCTTTTAGAGCTCACCACAATGACACAAACATCCCGCTGCAGCACACATGCCATACATAGGCTTGCCACCACTGGCCAATGATATACTTTTGTCCCAAGCATGATTATATCTGACATATGATTTTTCCCCTCCTAGGCTGAAAAGGGGTGTATGTTTTGCATTCTCTCAGAGCAGAACAGAGAAAAAATGCATACAGATTCCATAATTTAAAAAAAAAAAAAAGCAAACCAGAAATAAAAAGGCAACTGAGTCATTCTGACTCCTATTCTATCCTCTCACACAAAAACCAAAGGAAGTATGTAGATTGTCATTAATATCTAACCCACTGCAAAAGAACTACAAGGCAGAGGAGGCTGGGTCAACAGTAAATCACACCTCCACAAAAAAACAGCTCTCTGAATCAGTAAGACGGGAAGGTCTACTAGGTGGGAACAGCCAGGAAAGCACAGCCAGAATGTTTTTTAAAAGGTGTGAGGAGAAGGAAGAAGAGCTCCTAGGTCTTTTCTAGGCCTGAGTGATCCAAGAGACTGTTCTGGGGTTCAGTGCTCTAACAGGGCAGGTGTTTAAGAGAGGAAGGGAGAACTTGGTGAGAGAAGAAGGTGAGAATGAAGCACCTCTCATCAGAGCATGAGCAACACTGGTACTGCTGGTCTGCAGATGGAAGAGCACATCCTGAAGCCTGTCTGCCCACTCAGAGGCCAGGCACAGTGTGAGGCGGGAGAAAGCCCAGGGCACAGGCCCAGGCCTCCAGAAAACTGAGGGCATCTGCGGTGCCACCTGGAATGGATATTCTTTTCTCCTTGAAGAAGCCCAATCAGATAGAAAGAGAAGTATCTTACACACATAACCAATAATCCTCTGTAGACACCACAAAACCACATGAAAAAGGTAATACTATCTATCAGTGACTACGATTTATCACCTAATCGTTAGTAAAAAATCAGTCACAGCCAAAGAAAGTTTTAAAGAAGCGCAGGAAAGTTTTTACAGCTGATGCAGTTTTACTATATTCATAGAATGACGACCATCTAATTATGTGATTCACAAAGAACTCCTAATCATGAAATGCAGCACTTTCCATTCAGTTACCTGTCCAAAGGAACCTTTGCCTATCAAGGAGTCAATTTCATAACGATCCATCCACTTTTCCCCGTTCTTTACAATATAATCATAGTTGTCGTCGTCATAACCGTCATTGTAAACCTTCCTCTCCTTCTTATGACTAGAATCGTCTCCCTGGCCCTGCTGGTGTCTTCGCTTCTTTTTTGCATAGTAAACCTGAAACGAGAATACACAGTGTTAACTGTATAATTTAAGTCATTGTTGCAAGGGTCACATATCAAAAGAATAAATGAAACAAATGTACCAGCAGAAAACTGATGAATTTTACCCTCAATAACTACAGAAAATAAAATAAAAAATGTTCTGCAGCTGGCATGTGACCAATAGGGAAAGGCTACGATGAAATTCACTGTCTAGCCTACTGCAATGCATTTTATAAACAGAAGACTTTGGGAGTGGCTGAAGGTATCCCATTCACAAAGCGTAAGAAGGGGCCCTGTTGCGTATTAAATTAAGATTTAATTTATACATAGTGAGGTGGCACAGATGTTTGTTTGTTTGTTTTTTAAGACAGGGTCTCACTTGGTAGCCCAGGTTGGCCTCAAACCTGCGATGATCATCCTGCCTCAGCTTCCCAACCACTACGATCACAGGCATGCACCACCTCACCTGGCTATATAGCACAGATCTTACACGTACAATATGAGATTTTGAGAAATTTTTACACTAACGCCATCAACACCAAATAAAATTAACTTTTATCCCTTTCAAGTTCTTTCAGGCTGTCTTTTTAGTCCATGACAATTTTAAGATTTTAAAATAAAACTTCAAATGCAGATGAACTGTTTTATTCAAATTGCTCAATTTAAACCATGATAATGCTAATGATTTAAGGGGGGGAAAACGCTGACCCTGTGCTCACTAAAGGCCCTAAGCCTTGTGACTAATCAAAGAACAGAGTCCTTTTTTTTATACCTGGTTTTCTTTAGGAGAGTAGTTGGGAAAGAATGAACTAGGCAAAGTCCAAGTACCCGCTAACTAGGTTTGAGGAAATTATAAATTACATTCCATACAATACTGGAAAAAGTCTAGTATAAAAGGTACTGAGGTATTTTAAAACAGGCTTCAATAAAGCTACTATTTATCAAAAAACAATTTCTCAGATATTAGCAAACTGACATTAATATACCAGTAGAAACAACGTCAGCTAGTTTAGTATATCATTTATAATTAAAAAATATACAAAATTTAGCTCAGAAATGCTCCTTATAGAGTTGATTCTATCTTTTCACAGTAATATAATAGTATTAGCATTAAGCAGCATCAAATTGCTATAAAATTTGCACCTACAATTTGTGTACATAACATTTTCTTTAGTTAAATGGCTCCAAAGCTGGCAAAGCAAAAGCCTTTCATGTGACAGGAATAGGGCTCCTACTGGAAGAGAAAAGCAAGCCTTTTCTACAAAGCTCACTTAATAATTAATTATAAAGCTAAAGTTGAGGCTAAAAGCAAATAGCAATCAAGCTAAAAGAAAGTCCAAAGTACTAGAAAATTATGCTTTGCGGCAAAACAAAACAAAACAAAAATAAGCTGTACGGCAAGTAATTCAAAGCACTGTTTTTAAAAAATCCTACCCATTATTTTTACTAAAAATATAAAAAACAGCAAAGAGCTTTTAGTGTCAGAGAAGGATAGAGACAAAAGAACACACATAAAAACCTTAGAAGACAATAAAATCACAGAAATACAGAGAGATCAATAAACTAGACCAAATGCCTATAACTGGGAATTAATATATCTCAGAGCTTCCTGACATTCAGGGAAAAAGTAGAAACATACATAAACATTTAAGCAAAAGTATAACATACACAGTTTATTAAACAGTCATTTTCCTCCTCCTTTCTTGTTCTAGGGAAGCTATTATTAAAAAGTGAAAACTAAGCATATTAAATATAGCTTCAAAAATAGTTACCTGTAACTTTATTGTTTACAGTATTATTAACAGTATCTTTTTCACACAATTGTAATTATACTATCTGTAAATCATTAACTTGTCAGTCTTCATAAAAATCATATATGACAATCTTACAACAAGTTTAGGACATTTAAATCAACATAAAATAATTTTTCCTAGTTGACTGCAAAATAGATGCTATTATAACAAATCAATAACCTTACCTCATTAATATGTTTATATGTTTTGATCAAATCAACAGAAAGTTTTCTCAGGGGAGCAGTTGCTGGATCACGGAAGGTTTGGGGCATCCGCCTCTGTAACATGACAATATCAGGCATCACCTTAAATAGACAGAAAAGACTAGCACTTTAACTATACTGCAATGATGTGATCCCTTTTATAACCTGTATCTATCTACTTTGCAAAGAAAGAACCCTACATTAGAAGATTATTCTCTCACTGGATTCCAATGCAGACAAACACCATAACTAGTATGCCCAGCTGCCCAAAGCGTTAATTCTGACACACCCAACCCAGGAGACACACAGAATGTCTGCCTAGGAGGTCTTCTCTACCACAGAGCCCTAAGAAAAGTTTCTTCTGAATTACTCCTAAAACCTGACCTGGGGATGGGGATATAGCTCAGCTACATGGCACCCGCCTGGCAAGCACACAGTCCTGAGTTCAATTCCCGATACCAAAACACAAAACAAACAAACCAAACAACGAAACAAAACCTGACCTATCTTACAGTAGGCCAACAAAGATAAACCTGGTCATAAGAGGCAACACAGCTGCCATGAAAAAGCAAGCTGGCAACAAAGTCTCACTGCCTCCAACTCGTGGTGCTGAAAAGATGCAGCTCCTGACACCACCAGGCCCCTGCCCTCTCAGACGCGTATCATATGCAAAGCGAAAATCTTCACTCACTTCTTCAATACTGAAGGACAACATGTCACCCAAAGTAACACCCCCAACCTTACCAAAACCTGCCTTTTCCCCTTAACAGATCCTAAACTACGGACGGCTCTCTTCTTCATCTGGGCTATGAGGGGCTCACCTGTGCACTTCCTGCTAAACATTCCCAATAAAAGAATGAGCAGACAAGCAGGGGCATAGGGCCTTCTCTATACGCATCCACACATCTGCAGCTAGCATGCTCGTGTTCCTGGCTTGCTCTTTGAGCATCATCCTTCCACCAAATGTCATGCCTCTCAGCACAGGATTCCGCTCCCTGGGGCTTCTTGTAAGCAACAGATCCTCAAAGACAATTCTCAGCATCAAAGTACCTCTAGTCATTACCACCTGCCCAGCTTCAAGTTCCGCACTGTCTCTTATGGATATTTCATGTCCATGAAATTGACTAACCCAGAGCCCCCGATAAAGTCCCTCTAAAAAGAAACTCAGGTCAATCTGAAGAAGATCTATCTGTGATCAAACCCATAACTCTGAGCGACAAGACCAAATCTCAGCACTTCTAAAACCTGACCTGGGGAGTGTGTGTTGCATGCTTGGCGCTGCACAGAACATCGTGAACATTTACCCTAACTGGTCAAACTCCACTTACAAAGCCAAGTGGAGTAGCTAACCCTTACTACCTTACTTTGTCTACTCCAGGCAGTGGGAGTTACTGTTGCAGGGGCACTGGCATATATCCAACACATGCATTCTGTAGACAAAAACAGTGGCTTCAGATTAGATTGTACTTCAGTGCTTCATATAGCACCTTGTGCTCCAAAAATATAGAAAGAACACATTAATTTCTACAAAATAGTAACTCTTTCATTTTCACTGTGATTTCATCTTAACCAAATTTTTCATTTTGTGATACTGTATTGCCATTAAGTACAAATTTAGAATTATAAAACAGCTTTAAGATACCTAGTTACACTTCTATGCTAAGCCTCAAGGTCAGCATAGAGGACTAAGCATTTGAGGACTTCTCTACTTCCTGCTTCTTATACTCCACCCTGTAGTAATGAAGCAAGCTCCAGGCATTCAGAGGACCAGGAGCTCATGAGGTGGCTGGTATTACCCCACTTTCTGGGGAATAACCTACAGAAAGCAAAGTGGATGAGATGTCACCTGCTGCCGCAGCTATCTGACTCTGGGAGGTGGAAACATCATTCCTCCAGGGTTCCCATCTCTTGGCCTTTTTCTTAACATAAAATGCAAAGCAAAAAGGCAGAATGCACCTCCAGCTTAGATCAGGTTCTAGGAGCTAAAACCACCATTAACTTTTTTTCTGAACAGATTTTATCATGTAAGATATAGGACTCTACCCAAAAATTATGTTCTACTTTAACAATACCTATTATATTCATTGTATTTATATTTACTTCATTTTGACATATAAGGAGTTGGAAACACTACATTCCTTCTTTCTGCTACTTTAAGATCTATTAATAAAACTGAATAACACGTATTACACATATCCAGGACACTGTTAGAACTATGAAAGGTACTACAAAAACTACAACAGCACAAAGAAAATCAGCATTCCAGGTATCAGTCATACTCTTTTATATTTCTTACATTTCTTTCTTCTTCCGGGGGGGATGGTGGTAATTGGGGATTGAATCCAGGACCTCACTTGCTAGGTAAGTGGTCTATCACTAAGCTACATCCTCTGCCCTATTTTTTTTTTTTATTTTGAAATTGGATCCCATTAAGTTACCTAGGTTGGCCTTAAACTTTCATTCTCAACTAAAAAGCAGTCTCTTCTAATATCATGTAATCTTTAAAAACACTGTACAACTTAAAGTGAAAATACTCAGTAAAGTATCTCTAATTTTAAATGACTCAAAGACAAACAACACATAAGTTGGATATAAAAATAGATATTCTGCTAACTAAATTACTTACTACAATCATATAATCACAAAAATGACTTGTAAGGGTTTTTCCTAGCTCTCTGCAGATGGCAGATGTTAGCTGTGCAAGAGCACTGTATCTAAAAGGGAAGCCAAGCCAGTCTCCTGGCCCACGGCTCCTACACTGCAGAGTCACAAACGGGAGCACAGCTTCTGCAGCTAGAAACAGACCACAAAGCGGCACTGGCCTGTGGGACTCCTCCTACACAGCCTGGGATTAACCCTACCAGACCTTGTTTCCTCAAAGCACAATGCAAAGAGATCACCATGCCAGTATGATTTATTGGGTTTTAAGGGTTTTCTTCTGGCACACACATACTTTCTAAACTTGAACATTCAAATGAACTGCTCCAATTCTCAAATACAGACCTAAATTTTTGAATCACTTGTGTACAAAATACATTAAGTCTTGCCATAATTCATCTTAACTACAATTATGCTACTCACGTTATATGTATTCTATACATGAAATGACAGCTTAGCTACTGACAGAAATTTATTATAATACATATTAGATACCTAATAATGATACTTAAATGTATCCAATTATTCATTAAAGCGTATTATTGAATTAGAGTGAAGACAATTCAAATAATCTAGTATAAGAAATACTTCTAAATTTCTTACCTTTTTATATCACTTTCATATGTTAAAACACCTCACAAAACAATGCAATCTAAAATTCATTTTCGGTAGTCACACATACCTAATACAGTGGTGACACTTCACCTCACAACTACAGCCAGTGAAGAAAATTCTCCCAAACCCAGCATCAATGTAGTAAGTACAGGGAATTCAACAAGATATTAGAATACACATGGCTATGCGTATATGTGAGGCACATCTCAAGATTCCAGCATTTATTATCCTGATCGCAGCTACTCTGTGGAAAACTGCGGACCTTTAGTCTGAATATATGAACAGCACAGTGCATACGCATAATTTTTTCTTTGAATTTTAAAGAATTTTATTTTTACAAATGTATATTAAGGTAGCTCATAGCTACATAAAATCAGTTATGTAAGTTTGCTGTAATAGAATCTTATTTTCCTATAACATTTTTTATTTTATCTTTTCATAAAAATAAGCTTTTTCTGGGTTCCTTTAATATTCTTTTAAAATAGTACTTTTCTTTTTCTATCCCACAATGAGACTATATGCTATAAAGTTGTTTCTGAATGTCCTGAGTGAAATATAAAGTAAAAAAGGAAAAAAATCAAATTTTTAAATAAAATGTAACACCATGTGTCAATTCAAAATCTCATGTAATATATAAAACGAAACCTTTTCAAGTAGTTTGCCTATTTAATAGTCTAATATTTTTAAAACATAAACTAGGATTTCCACACCACTTCTAATACTTCATGACCTTACCTGGTTAGTTAGAGGTTGCTGAATCTGGTCAGAATACGATAAGGCAGAAACCTGTTGGTCACTTATGTTTGGCTGGCGACGGTCACTGTACTGGTGTGAATGGGGCATCTGTCCAGCCATCTGAAGGCCAGCAGCATGGAATGAAAACGACGGTGCGAGCCGAACAGATGAAGGTTTGCATGCTGAAGTCTCTCCTCCTACGAAAAGGTAAGTGAGGGTTAACAAGCAGCATTCGCGTTCTAATGTTTCTATCATTTGACATATCTGAGAGTTCTATAAACATGGACTTGAGGGTGTACAGTAATATCAAAACCATTTACAACTACAAAAAAAGATGTCACTCTACATAATTATATATGATATTAAGTATATAGTGATTTAAAATGAGTATTTACAATATAAATCTACACTGAGAAAACCTTTAGAAAAGCCCTTTTTTTTGGAACCAGGAATCGAATTCAGGACCTTGCACTTGCCAGGCAGGCACTTGTACCACTGAGCTATCTCCCCGGCCCTAGAAAAGCCTAAGCCAGGAGTGGTGGCACACGCCTACAATCCTTGCACTTGGGAGGCTGAGGCAGGAGGATTGTTGCGAGTTCGAAACCAGCTTGGGCTACAAAGTGAGCTCAAGGCCAGCCTGAACTGTATAGTGAGACCCTGCCTCAAAAAGACCAAAATAAATAAATAAATAAAAATAAAACAAACATATTAACATTGAAAACTTCTTTTGTATTGGAGACTTTTATCAACTGACAACTGTAAGATGAGTTAAGAGTTGGAATTCTAGAGAAAGGCCTTGCCAATTGATCACTGCTGAGATGCTGCTCTGCACTTTCCACACACATGGCAAACAAGATCCCCGGTATCCTCCAACCTGAGTCAAAGATCTGTCCTAACAATGCTCTCCTCTGACTAGGTAACCATCAGGGACACAATACAAAACTCAGTTTCAACTCCAGGGTGCCAGATTCCTCTGGACACTTTAAACATAGTCCTGAAAGAACCTAGGCCAGGCAAGTTAACCACGAAGAAAAGTCAGAACAAACAGGCTAGAACCACAACCATGCCACCGATGGTATATTTGGAAAACTGACACTCGTGGTCCACAGAAGTACTGGTAGCTAATAAAAAGTAATTCTATGGGAAAGCGACAGACCGACAGACACAGAGAAGGAGAGACAGAGAGGACAAAGAACTTCTAAAGTCAAAAGACATGGCATAAATCCTAGTCAACAACTCTCACTCCAAAATGCTTGTGCTTCCTCCTGAATGAGCCAGCTAACTAACTCCTACCACACCCCACACTCATACTGTCCACTACCAGGATACTTTTCTAAAATCTACTAGAGACACACAGCAGTGCTGGCTCTATCACAAATATCAAAGACTCTCTTGTGTCTGAAATCCCAGGTTCACTACTTAACACCTGTACAGCCTTGCAAGAATTATTTCCTGAAATGTTAACAGTACCTACTCAAAAGGGTCACTGTGAAGGTTAAGTACTTGAAACAGCTCCGGCAATTAATAAATGACCCAAGACCACTTCAGTTACTGTATAGTAACATACACCAAGTGTACCATAACGGACAGTGAAGCTGATAAGGGACAGTGTCCAGTCCTGCGAAGCATCCAATCACTTCTTGAATGAGCAGAGAGACTCTGCAAACGTAAGAGAACGAAGTTCAATTCCACCTAAATTTAAATTCTGTTTCTATCTTCTACCCTGCCAATCACAATCAAAACTCTGGGAATCATCTTAGAAGGTCCCCACCCCCACAGTGTGTATTAGCCAAACCTTAAGCCACCCAATCTTTCTGATTGTCTCTCCTACAGAACACGCAAACACAACCTCTTCTTTTCACTTTTAATCACCACATATTTTGAGATTACCAAAATGTTCCTAAGGACAGTTACTGTCTTGATTCTGCTCATTTCTAACTTTGGATTTCTTTTGGGCGGGGCGGCGGGGGGGGGGTTCTTCTTGAGACAGGGTCTCCCTATGCAGTTCAGGCTGGCCTTGAGCTTACTTTATAGCCCTGGCTGGTTTCGAACTCTCAATGATCCTCCTGCTTCAGCCTCCCAAGTGCTGGGATTACAGGAGTGTGCCACCATGCCCAGCTTGTATTTCTTCAAAGATCGCTAAACTGGTCTTCCTGAAAAACAAATTTCAAGTCCTACACCCCGGGCCAGGGATACAGCTTGACGGTATAAGCGCTTGCCTGGCACGCCTGAGGTCATGAGTTCGATTCCCAGTACAAAAACAACAAAAAAAAACCAAACAAACAAAAAACAAAGTCCTACATCCCAACTTAATTTATCACCAGCCCCTGGCATTGCTTTGAGACCTTACTTTCTGTTGACTCACACCACAGGGTTAAATAAGTAAAAGCACTTTGTCCTATGATGACAGGTGGGATAGCCTCTAAACACTTCACCTTACACAATGAAAAATACACTAACAATTCAATTGTGTGGAGTAGCTGGGGGGGGAGAGAGAGAGAGAGAGAGAGAAAAGGAGGAGG